CTCAAAATTACATTTTTATTATTTTATTCCATGGCTTGAATAGACTGCTATCATTTTCTGCCACCAGATAGGCTCCGCCCACAAAAAACGTCATCACTGTTTGCAAACACTGAAATTGGTCTATACGTTACACACAATCAAGCAATAATCTAACACACACATCTGTTGTGTAAGAACACCTTCTTAGTAGTATAAGACTTCATGGGGATATACTACATTTAATTTGTTTTAAATACTTGGGAAGAATAGGTTAGTTTTGTCTGTACTTGTTTTTTGATCTTCACTTGACAGCACAAACAACTTGCAGTGATGTCTAGCAAACAGACATGTCGTGTCCTGACAAGTGATGCATGGCGATGACCAAATGACTCACACGTGGCCACTACCCTTATGATTCATGTTTGTTATATGTGGTCGAGTTGGTTTGATTGGACCCTGTTAAGGAAGGAGTGCAGATGACACATTTGCTGTCCTCTTCAGATGTGATTTACACACGAGTCATAAGCAGCCTTGCGCACCCAGGCTGTTTATTACTTCGGATCCTGCTGCCTTGCAGAATTATGACACCGGTGTGTACAAGGTTATGCCAAAGTGTCCTTGATTGTGTACCCTTCGGCCTGATGAGAACTGTGTAGCTGGATTATTTGGAAAACTATTTCCTCATGGCAACAAATTTCCATTCCATTTTGTGTCATTGAGTGATGGAGATGTTTTCCAGGAATGAAAACATGTTTGCCGTCTGATGATTCTGAGCAAGTTTCCCTGTTTTTACTCGAGGTTCATCAGTGACGTCAAACTGCTTCACTTAGAATGCATTTGATCTCAGGGGTTGAAGGGGTGCGTGAAGTATCTTGAGTACGCCTGGTGCGTTTCATTATTTATGCACCCTTGATTATCTCCTTCACTCTCATCAGTGCCAGCAGTTAGAACATATCTTTAGCTTCTAGGCAGCTGGTTGTTTAATGAATCCTTGAGGAGGTTCATAGAACGTACAATGCTGCTGAATCAAGCTCAACAGTAGGGAAGTAAAAATGGCAATTCAGAATCACAATTGCTAAAGTTTCCTAGCAATAACAAGTAAACTTTTCAAGACGGATGTTATATACTTACATAGAAGTCTGGAGAACTACACTACCCATAATCATGACGCAAAAGCCACCAGTCACAAAAGATGCTGGCCATTTCTCAATATGCCTTCTTAAAGGGTTACTCCACCCCAAAATTAAAATTTTGTCATTAATCACTTACCCCCATGTCGTTCCAAACTGTAAAAGCTTCATTTGTCTTCGTAACACAATTTAAGATATTTTGGATGAAAACCGGGAGGCTTGTGACTGTCCCATTGACTGCCAAGTAAATAACACTGTCAAGGCCCAGAAAAGTATGAAAGACATCGTCAAAATAGTCCATCTGCCGTCTCCTCCGTGTCACCGTAGCGCCATTTTGGAGAGTATCCACTAAACGCAAACTGCGTATGCTGTTCTGTGTCAGCCGCACCGCACGGAAACGCTGTTTTCGTTCAAATCAAAGCGTAAATAAATGTAGAAAACGTTTGATTTGAACAAAAACAGCATATCCGTGTGGTGCGGCTGACACATACAAATAGAACAGTATACGCAGTTTACGTTCAGTGGATACTCCCCAAATTGGTGCTACGGTGCCAGAGGAGGAGACGAATTATTAAGTAAAGTCATTATTTTTGTTTTCTTTGCGTACAAAAAGTATTCTCAGCGTTATTTACTTGGCAGTCAATGGGACAGTCACAAGCCTCCCGGTTTTCATCCAAAATATCTTAAATTGTGTTACGAAGACGAACGAAGCTTTTACGGGTTTGGAACGACATGGGGGTAAGTGATTAATGACAATTTTTATTTTAGGGTGTAACCCTTTAAGCGATATTGCGTCCCTGTGTTCTCGCTCTACGTCATCATTAACCATCAAAGTTCAATTCCAATTCTCAAGAACGCAAGTACAGAGGACACACGAAAGTGCCCGGATGTGTTCTTGAAATCGAGGATGCATTGAATGCAGACTTAAGAGAATCGAACCGTTAGAAATCCCAGAAGACGCTGCGGGCGGACGACGCACAGAAGCCTGTAAGCTTTAAACTTATCATTCTTGCTTGAGAGATTACCGCTGCAAACTAGCTTTGCCCTTTTGTTTTGCAAAATTTTAATTAAAGGGGTCATATGATGCTATTTTAAAGTAATAGAAAGGCAAATATTATAATACTTTCTCGTTTGCCGTCAGTATTCATCAAATACGCATTTACATCATTTAAACAAATCTTTGAATGGCTAATGAAAATTTAATTTCACAAACCTTGCAAACTTAGTCGAATCCAGTTGTGAGATCTTGTGAATTGTGCATGTGACCTGCATGATCACGTGTTTTCTGCGTGACTTTCGGTCCGTTATCCGCTGCCGTTTTTTCAAAGCACAATGCAAAACTGTGACATTTCATTCACTGACGTTCTTCGATCGGCAGCTTCAAAGCCGGAAGCGCATATACTTACTTTGCCGGCAACCTGCCAAAATAAAAGCCTGCTGTTTTTAAGTTCGAAAATGATGAAAATTTAAAAAAAAGTAGTAGTAAATATTAACATTTTATTTTTAATGTTCTCATATGAGAACCAGGCTGAAAAACTTATGTGCACCCCTGATTATAATCATTGATGCTGTCTGACTACACTGGATACGGCGCGACACGACACGACAAACTCCTGACAGTAAGCTGATGCCTTTTTATGACGAACTGACACAAAGTTCAAATGATTTGCAAAGGTCGCTTTGTCGTGTCCAGTATAGATAGACTTCAGGGCCATTCAAATGTCGTGCCTAAAAACGCAGGAAAAAGCCAGCCGCGCCACTTTCTCCTCCTTTCCAAAGCACTCGGGAGCTTGGGCTTTTGTGGCTTATGCCATTGCTAAGCAACCGTGACCTGCGCTCTCCACGACGACGTGGAAGTTTCAACAAAGGATAAATGGATTTCCAGCACTGAAAATTGCTTGCAGTAGCTCTTCTACTAAATTTATTTAAAAATGGGTATCTCTGTAAAGCAATCGTGTCCGGTATAGACACGGTGTCTGTCAATGAAAACGATCAGTATAAATTTAACGATCAGTGTATACTAAACATCGCACATCCTCTTTTTTTTTTTTTTTAAATAAACATCTGGACTGGTTACTAATTTCATTTCATCAACTAGGAATTACTGTTTCTATAAATGGGGGAAAAAAACGTAAAGCAATAATATAAACATGCATGTCTGTGCCAAACAGACAGTGTTCTTGTACATATGTATATTTTCGCCAAACCAAACTTTTTTTTTTTTTTTAAATAATATTTATATATTATAATTAGGGTTGTAGAGTGGCGAAAAGTTTCCGGAAACTTTTCAGAATTTTTCAGAAATTTACTGGAAATATTTCACCCCTTTGCAACCATAATTTTAATATAGTGTAGTATAGTATTGTATGGTATGTATCAAATATTCTAAACATATCTTTGAAACCTTGGTCAGTGCAAAAGTGGATATTCACTGTTGAGCTCTTACCGAAATCTGATTTGAATATGTTGCTCAAATGCAAACGCAAAGATGAGTAAAGCCAGAGTGAAATAAGTTTTAGTCTTGCAATCGGCCTTCAGTGACCTTCTTCCCCCTGCTGTGTGGGATCCTGGGGAAATGTCATGTCAAACTTCCTCTGGCCTGCTCAGATTGATATAAACGTGGGCCACCTCTGACCTCCAGTGCTCTGTGCTCTGTGCTCTCCATGCAGCTAAAACCAGCACACTTAGTCCTTTGTTCAGACATTTTGAGCATGCTAACTCGATTCGCTGGAAAAATGATTCATTTGCAGGCTCCGTGCCACAAGTTCACAGACAGGTTTTTGTTTTAAGAAGTTGTTAGTTCTCTGGATACACTTTTGAAAGGTGGAGGTAAATGACACACAAAAAATGTATGGTCTATAATGACCCAATGACCATTTGCGTTTTACTCCGTAAGTGCACCAGCTGGTTATGTTGCTTTTACTTGACGCATTAGAGATGGCTCTCATCTGTCAGGTATGCACACTGAAACCTAGCGATTTGGATGCTGGGAAGGGCATTTAGGCACTTGTCGAGTGCAAACAGCATTTCCCTGAAGTAATGAGCTATATAAAGAAAGTTATAGTTTTTTTATATTTTCAGATTTTATTATTATTATTATTATTTTGCTTTTGCTATTTTTATTAGCTGTTTTTATTAAATATTTCTATTTAGCTTTAATTTATTTTATTTCAGATTTAGTAATTTTTAAGAAAAAAAATCATTAATTAAAATGAGTTTTTCCTTTAATAAATATATTCTAATTTATTTCAGCTTTGTTTAAATTACCAAAAAAGGTTTTTAATAGTTTTAGTTTCCGTTAACAGCACTGGTCCCAAAAGCATTTTATTGCTATCTCGTTCATTTTCAATGAATCACCTGTATTAAAACAACATGACACTGGAATGTTGGATGAATATGTTTTTCAGGATAATCTAGTTTATAAAATATGTGGCCTGGCCTCATTGGTGTTAATTTCCAACTGGAACAATGAGAGCATCAGTTAGTGGTGTTTCTCAAGGCAAGCATCAAGTATTACTCACACTTTAGCATTAGAGGTTTGTTTAAATCCCTGACCTTAAGCATTGAGCTTTGTTGTGTAACTCGTACCTCACCGTTTGCTAAGGCTACAGCTATGATTACTGCTTGAAATTATACTGCTTATTGTTGAGAGAGGTGTGCTGTTATTTACCAAGTTTTACTTGTCTGGCAAAAAAATCTTAATTTATAATTTGTTAATTTATGATTCCTTAATGTTTTTATATATTAGATATGCACAATTAATTGAAATATAATCTAAATATAACCAAAATCGTGATGATTTTTTTTATAGCCACACTGATACATAATTACAAAAATTGGTCAAATTGTGCAGCCCAATAAACAAGCAAACCTGGATTTTTTTTTTGTTTTTATGAATTTTAGATCACAGTTTTTATCAGAAATACAGTTGCAATACATATTTTCCCCCAAATTGCACAGCTCTAATATATATTAATATATGTAAATTATACGGATGAGCTCTGGCTCTGGTGTATTGTAATGGGGCTGGTGCTTTTTGCCTGTTCCTATTCTGCCTCTAGGCGAGCAAACATGGCCCGTCGTCCCGATTCTGCCACGTCCACTGCAGCACAGACCCACTTTCCCTGACACAGACCTCTCTGGAGACTCGCTGTTTATTTATTAATTTCTGCTTTTTCTCTCTTTTTTTGCCTGCAACAATAAAGCCACCTTTCTCTGTACCTTTCTTACAATTTGAAACTTCCAGTATAGATAAAAACCATTCAGGAAAGGACTGAATTCTAGTAATATAGCCTATTTCAGTCATAAACGGTTTATCAGATATCAGCACTTGGGAAGTTAAGACCAAGGGCATTAAATCAGACTTGAAGCAAATTGAAATAATTCTCATTGTTAAGGCCTTAATGGAGCTTATTTCCAGTCTGACACACCGTTTATGTCCTATATACTAAAGATAAGGATTCCAGTGCCAGAAAAGTGTGCTTTCCTATAACATCAAGCTCAGTGATTTTTATTTTAGCCGATCATGCAATGAAGGGTTGTGTGCAGCTTCAGTAACATCACATTTATTGCTGTCAGAGTTTTGGTATCTCTGTTAGGAAGGCTTTGGAAGCAGTTCAGACTAATTACTTTGGATCAGAGGTTGCCAGATTAATGGGCAATAAATGACATGATCTGTTGTGCTGTGGTTTTCTTACAGAGGGAGATGAAGGAGCAGCTGGCGACTCTACAGGACAGTGAGAAGGGTCATACGGAGGCTTTGCAGCTACTGCAGAGACAGCTCACCGAAACCAAGGTACACTCCTGTCAGTGCATGTTATTCTGAAGAGAAAAATCACCAATTTAACCTGGTGCTCCATAAAACACACAATTTTCCCGTGGGCTTCCATTAAGGGTCCAACCCTAGCCATATAACGATTGAAGTGAGTGCTGTTTGCTGATGTCATTTTAAATAATGCTCCACTCCCTTGTAATCAGAATCATATTATGATATGTAATGGGTATAGTAGTCTTTATTGCTGAATGTTTTATGCCAGAGGGTCAATTCTAGATTGATGGACCAACTGTGATTTATTGACCAGTCATCCACAAATTCAGCACCTTGATTCAAATCGCTATGACTTGATATTGAAACCACGTCTCCATTTCGTCTCTGAAACCACATCTGGAATCAGGTCTTGTGGAAATCGAAATGCAGCTGACAAACAGTTTATTCTGCTCACCGTGGCCATTACAGATTCATGGCAGGTCTCTCACTCTGTCCCCTTGCTCATTTTTCTCTCTCTCTCTCTCTCTCTCTCTCTCTGTTGACATTGAATTTCCAACAAGCAAACTGGTTTATTGAGCAGGTCTTTAATCTTGACACCTTGTTTTAATCAGTGAAAAGAGACACCACAATCAATACTGCAACATTGTCCGTCTCCCTGTTTTCTTCACCCCCTTTTTAATTATCCCGCTGTTTGGAATTGGAGATTATTGTGGAGGAAGCGCTTCCTGACACTGTGGACCTCTGGTGTTGGTCTTATTTG